AGCAGTTCGAAAGCATGTAAAAATGGTGGGAATGTAACAGCGTTCCGTGCGCCTTCAGTGTTTAGTCATGCCGGCCACATGACCACGGAGAGATCTTCTGACAGTGCTGTCTCTTCGGCTTTGAAACAGAGATGAGCACCGCCCCATAGAATCGGGAATGACTAGCACATATGTGTGAGGGGAACCTTTTACCTTTACCCTTCCCAATACATTAGGAATACATATATTTTGCATTCCTTATTTCTCAAATCATTCCAAGCTTTAAGTTTTCTGTGTCTCTGCTTACACAAAGTATCAGTCTGTATAGTTTCCTATTTCTATTTCATACACAGCTCCTTGTTGCTTCTTAGCTTGTCAGGGATCCCTACAGTCAGGGATCCCTACAGTCATATTAGCAATAGCAATAGCAGTTAGACTTATATACCGCTTCATACGGCTTTCAGCCCTCTCTAAGTGGTTTATAGAGTCAGCATCTTGCCTCCACAGTCTGGGTCCTCATTTTACCCACCTCGGAAGGATAGAAGGCTGAGTCAACCTAGAGCCGGTGAGATTTGAACCGCCGAACTGCAGCTTAGCAGTCAGCTGAAGTGGCTGCAGTACTGCACTCTAACCACTGCACCACCTTGGCTCTTCATATTAAAGACATATTCATTTTTCCTTCTTATGGATATTCTTTGTATCTTTGCTGTCTGGATCTCATTTTCTAGAGTCTCTCCCCCCCCCCCATCACAGTTATTTTTTTAGGATTTCAAATCAAGGCCTGCTGTTTATCTTGATTTGAAATTTATCACAATGTATCAGTTCAGTCAAAATTGATTTAAACCTATCTTCCTGAAATCCAAAATATGCAACTAATTATTTTGCAATGGTGATAAATCAGCAATATGTGCTATTTCCATGGAGTGAAACATGGTTATGTGACAGCTCCAATCCTGTTCAACCTGTTCTTTCTTTGCATGTTGTCTGGGGTCTGCCTGGGCGAGGTGTACATCAAGTACTGATTGGAAGGCTCTCTCTTTGATTTTTGCCACTTGATCATATGGATGAAGTGCCTCCATTCAGTCATTCAAGTAATCCTATTTGCTGATCACTATGTCCTTCTGGCATACAGAGACAACAATCTACAGTCCGAATCACACTTCTGGATGTTATCTGTCTGTTGTAAACTTAAAAATCTTGCATACAATAGGCCAGAGGTGTCAAACTCGCATCATCACATCGTCATGTAACGTATCGCAACTTTCCCTTTTCATTAAACCAGGGCTGGGCATGGCTAATGCATGAAGCATCCAGCTTTTGACACCCCTGCAGTAGGCTGTTGCCAAGAAATTTATTTCAGCAGAAAGGATCAGATGTGTTTTATTTGAGCTGAAATTGAATTTATTTGAATACTGCCTCAATTCCTAATGTTTTAATTCTCTCTTCCTATAAGGGAGAATAAGAAAGTAAATGGTTAAGGATAGGTAGAAAGGATACTGGAAGGATACGGAAATGCTATAGTTAGAAGAGATTCTAATCTGAAACTAAAATTAAGAAAACAGTGTTCAATGTAAACAATTAAAAGGGTTGCATTAGGAAAGATGAGGTAGTATACATTAAAACAGTATTTCTCAACCATGGCAATTTTAAGATAGATGGACTGCAACCCCACACATCTTAAAGTTGCCAAGCTTGAGAAAGATTGCTTAAAGAATTAATTGTCTGGATACTCAATGGCTTTTGCTTGGGCTATGAAACAAAGGATCCTCTGGGAATGCGGATATTTGCTTACTAACAATAGTCAGAAAACTTTCCAAGTACATCTAAACAAATAATCTGCAGAACAAATAATCTGCAGAAGCCCAAATATGGCATTAGTCCCTTAAATCAACCATGAAAATAAAGAGACAGAAGGGTTGCATAAACCAGAAACTTTTAAAATATCATTTAATTCATGATTTGGCTAAACACTGAGCCAAACTGGGAGGACAGGATAGGAAGAAAGAACAAAATAAGTAGCAGCCTATAGTTTCTCTTTAAAAGTGGAAAGAAATCATTTCTCTCCTGAAACAGGAAGCGAATACATTATCTTCCCTGAAAGTGGGGGGATACTTTTGGGGGAAGAGGAATATGAATAGTGGAATTCAATGTGGAAGAAGAAGGGGCATTTTTAGCCCCTTCTTTTTTGTGGGTGCTTAAAGCTTATCCAAAAAAGGATAGGGAACATAGGGAAGGAGGTAAAAATTCTAATGTCTGACCTAATGGTTGTCTGAATACCCTATCTTTTAGAAGAACAATGAATGCCTAAGCAAAAGTGTCAGTTAACACAACCTAAAGTCAATGCTGAAGACACACATTTATAGCAGTAGTTGATGAACTAGGAGCAGGAAGAATCAACATGTCCTTCTTTAGTTCTCTTTGGAATGGAAGTAAGTATACAATTCACTTCCTCTCTCCCACACAAACTCACAAAACAAGCAATACTTTCAGAAGGGAAAAGGGGGACAAAGTACTTGTTCTTAAAAAAAATAGTCAGCTGTTATTAGCTTGCTCATTCTTTTCCAGCACAAAGGTAACAACTCCCCCTATTGTACGCAATACGTAAAAGCATAACACTATCCCTAATACTGTTAGAAACCGGTAACTAATCTTCAGAAAACTAATTTACAAGTGGATTTACAAATGACAGGCGACAGGAATGACATGGGAAAGATGTTGCAATGGACATACAAATGAAATCAGATGATGCAATAATAAAAGGAATATACAAATACTAAAGCAAAAGAGTGACTAATTTTCTTATATTGGATTTACAAAAGAGCTCGTTAAAGCATTGAGGAATCTTGTGAGAAGGGACAAAGGGGGGGAAAAAAACCAAGTTCTACACTATTTGAATGAACTAAAAATTAAGATTGTTAAAATCTTATTTGTTTATTTGATCAAGGTTAAAATAGATATTGTTATTTCTGGTAACATTCAATGAACTTTTGTTGACACCAATTCTGAAATGACAAGGCTTTATGGATTTGTTTATGAATAAGAGATAGGACCCGGGATGAAGAGATTTGTTAATCCTAATCCTTAAAAGTAAGTGGTAAATAACTAAAACTGTTTACACTTATTGTGAACATGGGAAGTGACTTCTTTATACATTTTTTCTAGTTTCTACCTTTCTTTTCTGCAGCTTCCACTCTTTTTATTCTTTTATATTTTTGTTTGCATTAGTTTTTACTGTTGTAATTATAAATTTATTACAATTACTATAAAAAGAAACCCAAACTACTGATACTCAATACTTGGAATTAGGGGCACACCTGGAACTTTCATTGGTAGCGTCACAAAATGAATGTCATGGTGGCACAAAATACCCATACACCAGAAGCATACAAAATTCAGGGTAGTCGACTTACAGCCAGAACTGAGACTAAAATTTATATTGCTAGGTGAAACATTTGTTAAGTGAGTTTTGCCCCATTCTATGACCTTTCTTGCCACAGTTGTTAAGAGAACCACTGCAGCTGTTAATTTAGTAATAATGTTGTTAATTGAATCTGATTTCCCCATTTACTTTGCTTGTTGGAAGGTCGCAAAAGGAGATCACATGACTCTGGGAGACAGCAATGGTCATAAATAGGAACCAGTTGCCAAGCAACTGAATTTTGATCACTTGACTATAGGGATGCTGCAATGTTGTGTGAAAAACGGTCATAAGTTCATTTTTTCAACACTATTGTCACTTTGAACAGTCACTAAATGAACTGTTGTAAATCAAGGACTACCTGTAATCACCTTCTGCTTCATTTTTAAAGAACATCTCTTGGAGGTGCAAAGATATTGCTGGGAATACTGTTTAGGATTGAAGATGGTGTTTTGCAATTTACTAGCTTCTGATTAATTTTTATTAAACAAATGTCAGAAGGCAAAAGGCATAAATGATTTCAAGGGTTTGGATGTTTTAGGACTGCCCCAGCCTCCAAGCTGTAGGTATGTTTGTTTTGTTTAACAGTGAATGGCAATATTATGAGCAAGATGCTTCCAACTATTTCAAGATTATATAAGCACCACTTGATATAGAAATATTAAATATTTCTATATGGACTAACATTATTCCAATCATAAATGCAATAAAAAAGATCTGCAGAAGTTACAGCGTAAATCACAGTTCCACCTGAATTCAGCAATCATTGCAGTCTAGAGAAAATGGAAATTTCCCCAAAAGGTTTAATTCAGCAATTAATCAGACTCTGACAACTCAAAGCAGCAAAAATGGAACCATGTTACCAGAGTTTAGACTTCGCACCACTGAGATTTTAAAAATATAATCTTACGTTTGAGATAAAACACTGACAAGTACCAGTTTGACAATGCAAACTACTAACATCTAGATATATTTGTTTTTATTTGTCTACTCACAACTTCAGAACATGTTTATTATTTTGAAAAAAACTTTTTGAGAACTACTTATAACACAGTCCACTTATTTGTTGCCAAGCAAGTCTTTCCATCAGCTGTAACAGATCAGGCTACAATTCTCCCCAACGAGCATCAAGGATAGCTCCAATAAGCACTCCACCCTGTTTGTGCAAATTATGTGCGTGTCATTTACTTAGCTCTTCTAAAGGCAGTTTCTCCTTTTCATACAACTTTTTTATCCTGTCGCTAGAAACAACCTGTAAGTTAGGAACTTTGGAAGAAGTGAAGAGTGGGTTCTCTAAATTAAGACAGAGAGCTTAGTTTTATGCTTTAAAATCTGCAAAAGCCACAGCAAACTTAGAAGGTTGCAGTAATATGAATCAACTGGGAGGGGGGGGGGTGTAGAATATTGTCAATCCATGCATGATTCAGTCTATGTATGCTCTCTAATGAGAGTTCCATGAGTACTTTGGACTTAAACTCCTATTAGTTTCGGCCACAAGGCCAGTGAAAGCCAAAAATATTGGGAGAGCACCAAGTTGTTCTTCATGAAGAGACACTCAATTTTGTTTAGCTTAATGCAAACAATACAATAACACATGTAGCCATTTTGGTTGTGCAGCCCTTTATTAGCAACTAAAATAGAATATATTTGTTGTACAACACGGGTAGTAATTGACTATACTGGAGTTTTATTATATTCTAATACAGGATCTTTTATAAATGCATTTTTTTAATTAAAAAGCTTCCATCCTTTTCTGTTTAAACTTGCAAAACTATTCTGAAAGCAGAGTATGTGCACAGGTCTGCAGAGTGCAAATCTGGGATGTGGTAAATGCTTTACATGTTGTATTTTGCAAGGACCGTCTGTCACCATACCTTTATAGCCACTGGTTTTTTTAGAAGTCACAACATTTTGACACCAGCCTTCCTCCCTTGTCCTAAACAAGAAAGCATTTTTAAAATGAGTTGTAACTAAGGAAGGACTACACCTACTAGAAAAAAAAGAAGAGTTCTATTAGTTTGAGGTTTCAGTATACCCAAAGATCAGGAACTGCATCTTTGCAAGGGCAAGGCTGGGACCCCATTGAGTGTGCAGGTGTCATCCCTGAGTAGTCAGAGGTTCAGTGGACCATTAATGCTCCTGCTGCATAACTCACTGAGCTATCTTGCCAGTTTCGACACTGGCTTGACTGAGCATAATTCAAAAATGAAAAGCTCATGTTCATTCCATTCTTCTGGAGCTCTGTGATAGCCTAGATGGAATAAAAATAATGTTTTATAAAATGACTATTCAGATCATTGGTGACATTTCTTACACATTCATAAGGAATACTTTTTTTTTCAAATCAAGAACTTTGAACAACTTTTCTCATGGTTATTGAAATAATCATTCATATGGAAAACTGAGGCAGATGGTGCACAAATTTACTTTGGAACACGTTAAAAACACTACTGATTTTCAGAAGGCAAATTAACTCTCAGAGTGCTTTTTAATCTCAATTGGACCTTAATGGGACCCAAAGGCAATCATGCTAATAAAGATTATGCTCACTTTGCAACACGCCATCTTCTGCTGTAATTATTTTTATTAAAGCAATATTTTTTAAAAGCCAAGTGGGAGAACAAAGGATGTATTTTGTGAATTCACCATGTTGTTTACTCCTGACTCATATAGTGAGAAACATAGCCTCATGGTTCTACTAATTGTGAATCTTCCCGAGTTCTGAGGAACTTAACACAAAGGGCTTTTTTTCTGAATGCCTGTATTTTGTTTGATGTAAGCAGAAAATTCAGCATGCACACATACCATCCACCACCCATCCAAGAATATATATAGAGGTGGCAAAGGAAAAGCTTCATCACTTTTTCACAGGGAGTTTGATTATTTTTGGATGAATAATCAACTTGTCATGGTAAAATTACCAAACTCCTCCATGCACTGGCAAATAGGAAGGATGCAATTCTATTGGCTCTATCAACTTTTTCTTGCAAGTACCCAAGGGATATGCTCTTCCCACAGTTAGATGAAATTACAACCGAAAAAAGTGTTGGTAGGACTTTTACACTAATGAAAGGGACATTTTAAAAAATCAGAGTCTCTATCAGTTCTATCTTGCAGATTCTCCTTCCTCAACAAATTTTATTATTTAATCAATTTGTTAGCTGTCTCAATCACTGAAGCATCTCAAGGTGGGATAAAAAAGAGTAATTATTTAAAATGGCCACCAATAAGTCAATATGGCCAATATAACTATCCACAATGGACAAACAACAGTACAAGCTCTATATCAATGAGATTACAAATCACCCTATCCTGTTGAAAAAAAATCCAATCAGAGTCACATGGAGTTCAGAAGAAATATAATTCCAAAGACCAGGGACAGTCACGGAGAAAGTGGGTATCTACTGTTCTGCACAATAGCAGGGCTTTCTTGATGGATCTGGAGTATGCCAACCCTGCCAAACCTTATCAATTAGGCAAAATCAATGAGAAAATGATAGTCTTGAAGGCATGAAGAGTTTTCATATATTTATAACTTGAAAACGTATACTCACTATTTCATTTAACAACAATACTTACATTTAATAAAACACCAATAGGATGTCTTCCACATATTGTATTATGGTATTTCTTCAAGTAATTGCTAAAGGACACAGGGTCAAGCTGTTCTATAATGTTCATACCCTGAGGAGAATTAGAAAGTTATCATTAATTTTTAAATGCCTCAAATATAAAATATATTATTTAACAAAAAGAAAAACTGACAGATTAAAAATTGACAGATTAAGAACTAAATCATGGTATACTATGAATATAATAACTTGCATAACTTACTTAGTTCCGGCTTGAAGTGTGGGGTCCTTGAAGCTCTCTGAGCTTGGTTGTTTTCTAACATAAGAGGTGTTGATGGTTCCTTGATTGGGCTGTTGATCACTCTCACCAATGCTGACAAGATGAGCCACTAGTACTATATATAAAATGAGAACAAACCCTACTCCTTACTAGTATTGATGATGTTATCTAGATTGGCAATGAAATGTCTGCAAGAAAACACCAAGCCCAGAGGACAAGGACCCCAATAGTTTATATCTGAAGAAAAAGCATTTATAGATTATATTCACTTTACTATTAAAAACTAATAGTAAGAGTGAAATTGGGTTTTTTGAGTGTTTGTGATTCATCAACAAAAGCAGCAATTATTTTTTTCTCTTACAGGTTCTATTAATTATGTTCTTCTATATTTTATTTTCAACATCAGAGTCTGCATCCAATGATAAATGAAAGGCTTAGGACAAGAACACCTCTATGACAATTTCCCCTGATTTCATCCAAGTGTTTCAATGCCAAATAATCATAGTAATAAAACAATATTTTATAGGTAAAGCATAGGTGCTGAAATCTTCAGGTGCTGCTGAACTACACTGAAAATCTACTTTATCAGTGCCCAGAAGGACAGAAAGGCAAGAGCACACTTCTTCTGGCAGCCTTAATGGCAAGAATCAGAAAGGTTTCAGGTCAGGTATAGGACTGAAATGACATTTGTCCCACCTGTGGATAACCACTGGAAGGACTGGGATGGAAATAGTTCCTCCTTCCTTCCTCTCCTTGATTTCTCAGCTACCTTCAATGCCATCAACTATGATATTCTTCTGGAGCGGTTTCCTCACAGCTCATTTCTTTCCCCACTATTGTTTAACATGTATATAAAACCACTAGTGAGGTTATTTGATGGCACGGGATGAGATATCATCAATATATAGTAACATTCAACGTATATCTCCACCCCAGCCAGCCAAAGGATACTGGGGAGGCTCCATTTTAATGCCTGTATGGGGATGAATAAACTGCAGTCCAACCCTAGCAAAATGAGGGGTTTTCATAGATGCTCTCCCTCCCTCCCTCCCTCCCCCTCCCCTCTCTCTCTGAACCATGACTCCCATGGAATTGAAATTTGGCAAATTTTATAACACATTTATGGCATATATGTGATAATGCATCCATTTATGATGTATACTTTACAAAGTATTATACATATTTCCTATGATTAACTGCCGATGTTTTACTTTGCTACACAGTTCAACATGGGCTATTTTCAATCTCTGAATATCTCCCTAAATTTTTAAGAACTTTTCCAGTGAAGGCAGAATGTTAGAAGCTCCATCACTGTTGAAGACACTGAGGAATCTGGTAAGGAAAATATCTATGAAATGTTCATCTAAGAGATAGAAGGTGGTATAATACTTATACACACATACACATACAGATACACTTATGTAACCGAATGTTATACTGCCTATCACACTAAGTATTAGTGCTATTTATTTTAATTCAAATATTTTAATGCTAAAATCATCTACACTCTGGTATGTATTTATATTCCCTAGTATCCATCTTCAGTCCCCAACTGCTTTTGTAATTCATGTCCAATTAGATCTTCACTGTGTGATCATGTTAATCTTTCCTAAAACTACATTTTTGTCATTCCCAGTTTCAGCAAATCTTCTTATATTGTCAATAAATGACTATTACTTGCCTATTCCTAACTGGATGGTTAAATCACATACACAAAGGATTAGTTAAGCAACAAACTGCTCTATTTGCTTTCTGGCTTTATTGGTTGGCAAACTGGCATCAAAAAGACAGCATTCTTGTTGTTAATGCCGAGAAAGCTCATTTAAACCTGACTGTTTAAGTGGGCATTCAGGAACTGAGGAATCAATGAAGAATGTTCCTGGGATGTATGTGGGCACTCCTTATTGTTCTAATGATAGTATTGAGACTCAAATTGTTTTCCAAAATGTATATTTGGGGGATTACCACCACCCCCACTAGGTTGTTGTTGTTGTTGTTGTTTTTGCTTTGCTTAGACTTGTTTGCTTAAAACAGCATAAAAACACTTGTAATAAAATGAGGCTTTCTGGGTTAATACAATAAATAACCACAACTGAAAAACCTCAGTGGATATGTGCACACAATGCAATAAGCCCTAAACAAACAAACAAAAGCTATAGTATGAATTGGTTCATGCAAAGTATATAAAAGATATAATGGGTAATGCTTTGATCAGATTCAAGACAAAAAATGTGCAAAAGATATTTACACTTACCATTTTATCTAAGTGTTCAATTGATCTATAAATCTCTCCTTGAGACTCATCATAGTAACTGTATCTGAACCTCTGACCTTAAGAGAAAAAGCCATATGAAATTAAAGACCAAAGGAATAGCTATATACATTTTTATGGCAAGTCAAACAGAATTACATTGTAGCAGGTATCAAAAAACCATACAAATTGACTCTCCTGGAGATGTCATTCCAAACACTTGACACAGGTAGATAGTTGCCTTAAAGCAATATTTAAAGTAAAATAATATGGTCACTTAATAATTGCAGCAAATCTGATTCATAAATACTCTGTCTGTCTATCTGTCTGTCTATCCATCCGTCCGTCCATCCATCCATCTATCTATCTACACACACATGTGTATTATGTATGTATACACACACACACACACACTTATACAAACACACACACACACACACACACAAATTTTATATATACATACACAAATTTGTGTTATTCTGGAACACTGGCATTTGTAAGAAATTCCTTTTTTCCCAAAGCATGCCAAAAATACCTCTGGTAAAAACTGAAGAAGGACACCCCCAAACC